TTCCTGAACGTAGTCCTGCAGGAAACCTTTGCTAGTAAGTATTATGGACCTATGAACGATATTATCATAATGCATGTTTGTTAGTGTCAGAACACCTCTGCTTGCTCTGCACTAGGATTGTCTGCTGTGTCGGTTCCCATTTCTAACAATACTGTCATCTCCATTAACAGAACTGGATGTGCTGGAGCGCTCCAACCCAAAGTACCTGGTGAATGCAACGTCACTGATGGGTGATTATTTCGCGGGGGCCCGCCTCAGCGACGGCCAGAAAGTAATATTCCTCGCCGAGCCACTGTTGCGGTACCTGCGCGCACTACTGGCCTGCCAGGATATTCTAGCGCACCGCACACTCGCATCGCAGGTACTATATCACTCTTACTGATCTCTGGGCTTATTAATATTTAGCATAGCCAAAGAATCTCACAAATGCTAATTAATTTTTTTATTCACAGTTAATGCAAAACGGTCGCGAGCTACTCTCCATACTACCACAGGAGATAGACGAGCTTTCGATCTTTATCCGTCTCCGTCTGCTCTCGTCCCCACCGGTCAGTACAACGTGGCTACTTCTCTCCGCGGACCTTTGCCTCAACAAGTTTCTTGCTCTGCCGAATACGCTGCAACAGTTCTATGCTGATCATCTCGAAATAAGCACAGAAGAAAATAGTGAAGTCAGCTATGGATCTTGGACAAAAGGCCCTGGAAAGGACGTAGAACAGCCACAATCAACTGCTGCTTCTCGGCAATCAAAGGAAGATAGAACAGCGTCAGTTAGACGAAACAAGTACGACGCTGATCATTCCAAAATTGACATGAAAAGCCGACTCGATCTAAACTCATGGCGGCAGCCGAAAGAGGAGGTTGTTGATCAAGTGGACAGTGTCCATGAAGATGTCTGTACCAGCGTCGATACCACTGGGATACGGGTATCGACAGGGACTTCGAAAATCACCAAGACGCGGATTGCTCAGAGAAACCGTATATCTGCCGGCCGAGACACAATGGAAACCTGGACGGCAAGAAATAACCTGAGGAGACGTTACGATCTCAACTCGTGGCGGCAGACACA